TTACAAAATATTATTTAAATAATAAATTCCTTAATAAGTTAATAATTTATAAGTATGAACATTATTGAAAGTTGTTACGAAAATATTTAGCAAACTTTATAAAATGAACGGAAGGAAAATAATATGCAAAAAACAATATAGTAAACAAATTTAAAAAATTTCTATTATGAAGTGTTGTAAAGTTTATTGAAATGCTGAATGTTTTTTCTAGCATTATCTAAAAATATTTTTACTACGTTTCTTTGTCGTGCTCAATATTTGAAGAGTATACCATTATCCAAGAATACAAAAATAAAATAATATTATAAAAAAGATTGTATATGCAGTAGATAAATGATTTGATGAACTTTTCTGAAATTCCTGATTTGTAATTTTTTGATCTCGTATTAATCGAACAGTTACATTTGCAACAGCGTAATAATGTTCGTCGGATTGATCTTCTGTAGCATACATCTAAAAATAATAAAATAAAAATTTATAATATAAATTATTTGAAAACATGTTTAATACCGAAAAAAAGCCGTAATATATTATGACTAAGTTTTTTTTTTTTCACTATTTATTTTAGGTGCCACAAGAAGACTTTACGGTCTTTTCACAAATCACTGCGGAAAGACCATGTGAAAGGAAGTTCACACCTCCTTTCTTACCGATGTAAAAAAAACCTGCTCAGAGGTGGCGTTGAACAACGGATCTCTAGCTTCTGAGGCATGCTTACCACTGCGTTAACCTCTGCGTTAACCACTGCACTACGGCTGCTCAATATTTTTAACTCAAAGTTTTACTAAACTTTTACTAAACTTAAACTTAAAAATCTATAGTAACTTAAAAATCTATAGTAACTTAAATGTAACAACTAAAAATCTATAGTAACTTAAATGTAACAACTAAAAATCTAGAGTAACTTAAATGTAACAACTATAGTAACTTAAATGTAACAACTGGTGATTTCGGACAGTAATTTCGCATTTTTAAAGTAATTTTATTATAATTTTGAACATGTTGGGATAAAACTTAGTTCAAAACTTTTTATTACGAATGAAAATTAAGGGTTGAAAATTTCCGGAAATTTTTGTGGCAATAAACTTATATAGTTTTATAAAATTTATTCCTCTGTTTCAAAAATATGTGTTTAATCATCGTAGAATTTGGGTATTCTTTAAATATTTGAACCAAAAATATAAAATAATAAAGACCCACAAGCGAAAAATATCATCTTTTATTCATATTTTTATAACTTTATTTATTTAATTAATTAATACGCATATTTTAAAAAAGAAGTAATACGTTCTAGTTGTTAGAAGTCATACGTTCTAAAGAACAAAAACAAAAAAACATTTGTAAACCTTTTATATCATATATTCAGAAAAACATTTGTATTACTTATATATTGTAAACCATAACTTTATGTAAACCTAAGATAATTTTAAAAAGTTGTAAATAATTTATTGTTTTATAATAATAAAAATAATAATAATAAAAAAACGTTCTACTCGGTGTAGTTAAGGCGATTTACAAAATATTTGAATACTTTTATTTGGAATTAGCATGGTTTTGTCAGCATATTATGCCCAAACAAGATCTTTAAATGTTATAATTCTTTTTACTTAAGGTTTTTGTAATATTTAAAGAAACATTTCTTTTTTATATATAATTTTCAAAATCTTTTTACTACCTGTAATAATGTATTTAAAGAACATTTTAGAGTCTTTAGATCAATTCCGCTCATCGGCATTAACATGAATTTAGTTGAAATCTTTTAAAAAAGTTTCTTAATTTACTACTGATCCTAGTTCTAAACGGTTCTGACTTATATTAACTATATATAGTTTTCAAAACACAATATTTCTATCAATTTTCACAAAAAATACTGAAATTCCGACCAAAAAAGAGCTTATAATTATAAAAAATTGCCATTAAACGATCAGAACAGATCATATTGTTAAACTATAATGTTCATTTCACCTAAAAAACGTATTAATATAAAATCTTATTTAAATTTGGACAAGCGATTGTGATTTTAAGATAAATTTTTTTTTTTAAATATTCCACGGTCTGGGTTTTTTCGCTACAAACATTTTTATTTTATGATACCGCAAAATTTATTATTTTAATTTTTTTCGTCTTTTCATAATTCCCAGAACAGACCATTTAACGGAAATATGTCGTAGTCAACGAAATATCATACAGACTTTATAATATTTTAAAAGTGCCTGAATTACACCGAGTAGTTGTTATATATTACTTTTACGTATATTACTTTTTGAAACAACGAAATGTAGATGGTTTCCGAGTTAGCTTGTCTTTAGAGCTTGTGCATAACATATACCTCGCTTTTACTTCTCTCAACCACGATGTAAAATATTCACAAAATACAAAGAATAAAATCTTTTTTTAGATTTACAAATTTTATTATTATTTAAAGATTGCATTTAAAACATTTTTATAAATGGTACATGTTATAAAGATTACATTTAAAACATTTTTATAAATGGTACATGTTATAAAGATTGCATTTAAAACATTTTTATAAATGGCACATGTTATAAAGATTGCATTTAAAACATTTTTATAAAAGGTAAAATTTATAAATGCACTGTGTTAGATTTAATAATTTCTATAAAAATGACATTAGAAAACACATTTGATCTGAATGTTCTGTAAAATAATAATAAATTAAACACTCACAAAAATTGCTCACTTGGCATTGTTGGTTAAAAAATACGTTATACATTTTAAAGTATAGCATAATTTTTTAATTGATTGATTTGAAAAGTCAAAAGTGCCCTTGCAAGGTTATGGCAAATGAGACTAAAGTCTTAAAAGTACATTTGAAAATTGTGGCAGAATTTATGACCTCGAAATCATTAGTTCTTTTTATTTATTGCTTATTATATTTTTAAATAGTTCAAATTTAGCAAAAATATTTTTTTGTTTTTTGCCTTTCATTAATCAATAAGTTGTAAAAGTAGAAAGTGCCATAAAAATTGAAGAAAAATTGTTATTCAAAAAGTTACATAAAAATAGAAGGAAAAAATGTGGTATGTTTCTTTCTACTTTAGATGAATTATTAATAGAATCTGCGTGTTGGTAATTACGGACAAAAATTTTTACAATACAAATAAGAAATTTATTTGCATTGTAAAATATTTTACAATGCAAATAAATTTTTACAAAGAGAATAAGATTATCTAAGATATATAGAAATAACTTAACTCCTTGTTAATAGTAAGAAGTTTTTGTTTAATTTTTATTTTAAATTTGTTAAAAAAAGTAGTCGTTTTGATGATGTTATTAAATTAAAAATTTGTTTCTAAAGTAAAATACCTTGGAAACATATTTTTTATTGCAGAAAATTTCAAAATTAGTAAAAAAGATTTAAAATTTACACAAAGTTTTAGATCAAATAATATTTTTAACATTTTTAGTTTATTTGTTTTTTTGTTTTTTGTAGACTTTTAAGCATTTAATTATAATGTAAAGATAAGAGTTTGAAAAATAAATTTGACATATTATATTTTCTTATTGTTTGATATATTCATTTTTGTTATTAATTTAAAATTAATAAATCTTCTGAGGCTGAAAATTCAGCTGATATAAGTGAGTAAAAATTGCTTCTAAGACTAAAAATTAACTTGATAAAATGTTTTATCTTAAATTATTTAAATTTACTCTCTATAAAGCTATTCTGGCATAGCAATCTAGATATTATTTTATTTAACATTAGAAGCACGAGGGCAGTTGATGTGAAAAATGAGTTCAAATTCTTCTAGAAAAATATTGTTTTAAAATTTTATTTAGAAATTTTATGTGTTTTAGCTATAAGTAATTTGTTAAGTAATAATTATATGAATGAGGTTTTGGATTTGGGAAGGAACTCATATAATGAGTAGAAAATTTTTTTAGTTTTATATAGAAAGAGGGGTTAATAAACCAATGCATATCACAGTAAGAAATCTTCGTCACTTACCTAAGTTTAAATGTCAAATGAAAATTATTTATAAAACTCGTTACTTTGAATGTAAAAATTTATGCATGCATTAATTTTTGGCAGCAAAAAAGTTTTTATTCATTAAACAGCGGTTAAATTTTCAGTTACAATAGACTCATTTATAATGTATTAAATTTTACTAACTTAAAAACTCAATTTTAAACTTCTACAAAATTTAGATCAGTACAAAATTACAGTGTTACAGCTGTGTGTATGTGTTTATATATATATATATATATATATATATATATATATATATATATATATATATATATATATATATATATATATATATATATATATATATATATATATATATATATATATATATATATATATATATATATATATATATATATATATATATATATATATATATATATATATATATATACATATATATATATATATATATATATATATATATATATATATAAGTTGTGTTCATACTAAAGAAAATGTTTAAAAAAAACATTTAGGCTTAATTTTTTTGATTGAAACTAAATAATGAACGCATACCAACAAAATTAAAATTATCGTTTTTGTTAACACTATAAAATTTAACTTGTTTAAGTGATAAGTATTTAGTTAAGTAATTACCAAAGTGTTTTGAAGAAAAAGTATTCTTTTTATTCATTAAATGAGTTTTGTTTCGGTCTTGTTTAGTTACTATTTATAAAAACCCATTTTTCACTTTGCATTTCTTATTGTTTAATGATGCGCGATAAAAACTTATTTAATTAAAAAGTACTTATGTTTAGCTTAGTATTGATATAAAAATTTTTTATGCTTTTGTAAAGATTTACTATTCGAATTTTAATTCGAATTGTCAATGTTAGTGTTAATTTTAATTTCGAATTTTAATTCGAATTGTCAATGTTAATGTTAATTTTAATTCGAATTGTCAATGTTAGGCCATTCAAATTTTATTCAAAAAAATGTTCGGTTGGTAGCAAACGAGTTAATGCGATTCTTCGTTTTATACTTATATTATAACTTTTTTTTGTATATTTTAGTACAAATATTTGTTTTATTTTAATTTAGTTTGATTTGTAGGGTTATTAAAAAAATAATTCGTTTAATATTTATTTTCTACTTAGTTCAGTTTATTGATTTTATTTAAGTCACTCGTTTTTTATTCAGTTTAATATTAGTTACAAGGTCTGATTTTAAAACTTTTCCCTGGTTTTCCAGGTTTTCCCTGAGTGCCATGACCCTGAAATGTCCCTGAAATGAACCCTGAAAGGGTTTATGGCACTCAGGGAAAACCTGGAAAACCAGGAAAAAGTTTTAAAAATTTAGAAAATCAGGGAATACCTGGAAAAGTCAGGGAATATTTGTTAAAAATCTGTAAAATCAGGGAAAACTCAGGAAATATTTTTCAGTTTTATATTTAGCTTGAAGTTATTTTGCAAAATACACATTTTGAGTGTTTATTGTTGTTGAAAATTGCTCACTAAAG